GAATAACACTAGCCTGCATAAAGGCACCGCAGCATTTGCTTCAACAGCTATAGCTGTTGCTCTCAGCTGTAACAAAATCTTACACAGTTTACCTTGCTTTTTTCTGTACCAGTGTAATATATTGCCATACAACACACTGGAGTTTTTCATTCTTCATTCTGCATTCCAGTTATCAGAAAGTTACAAAACCCAAGAGAAAACACTAGACAGCTCAATTACACAGAGGACTGGAGCCCAAATTAAATTGCTCTATTAAGTATGCATAATTGGTATGGAACAAATATTTGAGTATCAAACCGCACCACAAAACAATGGGTGAAGCCTCACATGTTCAGACTGTGCTGACCCACTGGAAGCTAACAACTAAGCCAACATCCAGGCCCCCGCCACCGCCTCACAGGGGAGTTTCCAAGGCAGCAGTGCAGTAGCTCCCTGCTGAGAACTGTTCCCTCAGAATTCCACAGCCCGTTGGTATTGTATTTTGTTTTAGTACAACTGAGATACTTCCATCTCCTTGCCTTTTTATTTTGACTTCATTTTGCCATTTATCAACACGCTTGTAAAACCATTTCCTTCATCACCTCAGGTACTCTCCAGCCACACCTCTCTTGCTTGCATAAAAGTTACTTCAGTTCTGACTTCCTTCTCCATTTAAAGAAAATGATAGATGGCAGGAAGAAAAAAATGGAATCACCTCCATACAACTGAATTAAACTTCTCACCTTCAAGCCCACCACCGCCTTCCCTTTGGAAGCACAACTTGGCAGCTCTGCAGAATTCTGCTCGGTTCACAGAATGAATGCAGTGCAAGCACAGCAATCACAGAGCATTTAGTGACTAGCCTACCTGGAAACAACAGCAAGTCCAGAAGCTGCTACAAGAAAACACGTCTGAGGTGCTTGAAGAGACCTTTCCTTTGTACATTTAGATCTAGCCTGGGAGTCTACATTCTGAAGCCAAGCTTCCTGTAGTTTTGCTGAAGCAACCTCTCCAAACCAAGCTCCATCCACAATATGATCATGCTTTCAACTTTTCACTGAGGCTAGAGTCACTCAGAAACAACCCTGGCTAAACTAAGGGTTAAGAAGTCACTTAGCATCCTCCAAGATTACATTGCACACTAGATATTTTAGTATCAGCGCAACACTAGTCAAAATCATCACATACCCTTTTTCTTCAGCCCCTTAAAAAACAAACAAACAAACAAGGCAATGGACTTTCTAACAAACAAGGCTGCAGGAAGGCCATACTGCAGCATCCTCAAGGCTGACTAGTGACCTGCCAGCAGCACTGATCACAGAGCAGCGTCCTCCAGCGTAAGTTTACGGGCTTTGCTGGTTGAGTGGCAGACACTGCAGTACTGCACTTCTGTCAGTGTTACTCATGCTCGCACAGGGAGCCTTGCCAAGGTAAAGCAAATGAACACTTGACAGAAGGCCACCACAAGAAGGGCTCTGCTGATTGCAGCATACCAGAAAGCCTGTTCTGTCTTTAGTTCCATCAAGATGCGAACTGCTCTTGACAGTTAGACAGAAAACTTCATAGGAAAAATACACTTTTCATATAGAGGACTATTCTGCTCTTGAAAGTTACCGGCAGTTCTTCTCCTATAAACTAAGCAAAATTTTAGCTTATTAACACATAGCTTCACTACATCCTTTTGTGTGTTTATGCACATTTGAAAATATGACTCCATATAAAATGGAGGGAAATCTAGATGGGCGCATTACATTTATACAGTTAAGATGTGCCAAGCTCTACACAGTGATACCAAGGGAAACATTTAGTCTTTGCTTTTGGTATAACAGAACTTCTCCTGTGGCATTTTTTCCTCAAATAAAAAAAGTCATTTCAAGTGAGAGATCTGTTTAAATAACATACAAAAAAAAAAAAAAAAAAAAAAAAAAAAAAAAAGACCCCGTTTACAGCTTCAGCTCATTAAAACCAGACAATTTAAACAGCCTCTTTTTTTAATTCAAAAGACAAAATTAGATTTTTTGAGTTCATCTATCATTCAGAGCAACCAGGACATAAACAACTTGGCTAGTCAACTCAGTGAAAACAAAATTATTCTAAAACTATTCAAGGCTTGCTTTGACACCCCATGCATTATTGCTATGGCAGTAACAGCGAGAACAGCTCTTGCCGTAAAGAATTGCCCAATCATTCGCTTATAATACTAAATAAGGTTTGGTTTATATGCACATAGAAGTTACCTGCTCTAGCATGCATACCAGGCAGCTAGCCGCTATTAACTCCTTCTACAGTGCTGCCTGTCATCCAGCTTTTAATTGTGAGATCAAGAGGAAGGCAGGAAGTCAGGAAGAGCTCCTTCCCAACGAAGCCACAGGCACCCAGAGCCCCTCACTCTGCCCTCCATGGCCCCCACCAGTACCGACCCATGGCAGCACTTGGCTGCTCTCCTTGCCAGTAGCTGTGCCTCCTCAGCCGCCTATTGGTAAAGACTGTCAAGAACCTGGGAAACTCAAAAGAAATTACATCTGACAGCTCTCCCTGGTTCCCTGTTTTGTTGCTACAGTGAAAGAATTCCAATAGATTAGCAAGTGCATTTTGCTTCACAAAAACAGTGCTAATTTTCTGCCATCAAACCATGATCTAGAGAGGATTAATGCTCAAAGAAAATGAACCAGTTAGTTCACTCTGGCATTATAAAGGCGCTTGATAGGCAGCAATGCCAAACAATTTTGTTTAAAGACACAGAGGTTAAGTTAATGCTTATTTTATGTATAGAATGACTGATTTTGTGAGACTGCATTAGTGCCTTGCACACACAGGAAAGGATGACAAGGACAAGAGAGCAACAAAGCTGCGGCCCATTCATTTATCACCCCAACAGACAGCCCTCACCAAAGGGAATCAGCACATAAATATACCTACCAAGGATCATTTCACCTATTTAGGGGCTTTACACACCAAATTAGATATCAGTTCTCTTAGATCTCAATACCTCCACTCATTTTTTTGCAAAGCTTAAAGGTCCTCTAGCCAATATATTCAGCTGGAATAGGCCAAGGCTCAAAGGTTAATAGGGCACAATAAAACTATTAAAAAGTATATTTGTAGCCCTTTTTATAGGGCTCATTCTTCTTTATGAGATCATACTACAAGCCTACAGGTTTCTGTATGCCAACAACTCCAATACTCTGGAGATGCCATGGCCCAATTCCACTCAAAATAATATTCTGACTCCTCAACCAGCAGTCTAGTTATGTGATTACATGTTTCTTCTCTAGTTTAAAAACACATATATGTCACTGCAGCTGCTGCTGTTCAACAAGTCTTACATATCACCAGTTCACCAAGGCCTTCGGAAGAAAAGACAACAGCCACAAAAAGCATCACCTCGAGCCACAGCTGCATGTATCTTCCCTTTGTGCACCTCGTGTAATTGAGGCATCACTGGAAGGGAAATCGAGACATTTGCCGCATTCCTAAACCACCTCAGAGTGCCCCACTGAATAACATCCTGCTTTCCTGGGCTCCTTTCAAAATGCGGCCTCAAAACCATAGAATCCCACCTGGCACTTTTATAACAGAACATGCAAGAACCTGTAATGTGAACCAGAAATTTCATCAGCAACACATTCTCAGCCACAGCGATTCCCACTGATAAAGAACAGTACAGCTTTGGGAACAAGCAGAAAATTGGATGATGGATCAAATATCCTGCAAACTACTGCTCACATTTGCATGAACGTGTGTCTGTATTTCAAACAGAGGAAATCCTGGGTAGATGTGTTATTTTTTTTATTGACTGATGACATCAGTAAGCCATTTCCCTTAACTGCGATTACTTGATTTTATGACATCTTATACCTTATATAGCAGTGTTAATCCTCAGAGAGCAGTCATTAGCCTCCAAACACCGCCAGAAAGAAGGCTGTATGATGTTTTAAGCATGCTTTCAATAAATACGGTCAAACAAGAAATACTAATTGGACATGAAAAAACACCATCACCACAGCTTCACTGCTTCTAAGAAATGCTCATTAAATGTCACTAAGTACCTCTTAGACAGTCCAAGGTACTGACAAACTGTCTCCCATTAACTGTAAGCAAAATGATGCAACTTTTATTAAATCACTGAACAACCAACAGCAGGCAGAACTAGCATTTGTCTGCAGAATTATTTTTGAGCTCACCAAGCATATGGCAACTTATGTAGACAAAGCTAGTTGTTCGAAGCTATAAACATTTACTACATTTAGATCTTTAGTTTCAAGTCACTAGACATTTGTTCCCTCTGATTTTTTTTATTTTTTTTTTTTACAACAATAAAACAGCTAAGTGTTATAAATTATTACAGCAGAGAGGGGGATGAATATAAGTCACCAGTTTCTCAAGCTAATTTTTTCTGATAATTATAATAACATTAAAAGGGACTTGTTTGCATCTATTCCTTCACCTAGAAAGGACACCTGTCTCATTTGAATCTCATGGTACAGATGTTATAGCTTGTGAGATTTAATAACTAGTCTACTTAAATTTTCATTAACAAATCACAGAAACTCCTCCTGAAATGCAACACATTTGGGACAGCTGTTATAGTCATCATAGGGTTTGTCCGTTTATTTTGTCACACATTCAACCACAACATTTGAATGACTCTTTAAAAAACTTAATTCTAAGCAGAGAAGAAGATCAAAGACATTTTAAGTAGCATTAAAAAAAAAGATGTCATTCTCATTCCTTCACCAACATTTTCATATAATAAGAGGAAAAACAAAACTGCTTGAAAAAGTTTTTAAGTTCTACATCAGCTGCCAGGCTTCTCTGATTATCTTCACGGCTACGGTCATGCTTTCCACCTCTGGTCCCCAGATTGGAGAGCTACAACACCTACAGGCAGATGTGTTTCATTTAAGAATATTCAACACACACCTCATTTGCCACAGAGCCAAGAAATTAGAATGTAGCATTAGTTATTTGAAAAGACACAGCAAAAAAAAGCAAAGGTAGTGTTTTCATTCAAGCTCTACCTTATCTTTGTCTTCCACAACATCTGCCAGCACATCGTCAGGGTCCAGGATTCCTCCATCTGTATACTCCAGGTGGTGAATATTCACCCAGTAAGTTGGATCCTGTAAGAGAGAACAAGTTTTCTCAACATAACCTCACAAGTTTTTATTGCCAACAGACAAAGCAGCTCTGTATCCCACCTCTTTGCCACCAAGGTGCATGGAGCTTCTCCTAAAATAAAAAATTACTGAAAAAAGAGGAAATTAAAACTGCAGACATAAGACTACCCATAAAATACTATGCAAAAAAGTTTTAGAATGTATATTTACATTGCCTTACACACTTGGACTTCTAAATTAAATACTTAGCTATTGGACAGTGCTTACATGGTACCAAGTTCTTTTCAGCTGCTTATGCTGCCCTGCCAGTGAGGGGTCAGAGGGGACGGTCAGGACAGCTGACCCCAATGGAATGAAGGGATATTCCATGGCACGAGCCATGGCACCCAGCAAAATAACGCTGGGAGAAATAAGGAGAAAGGAAGGGCTGTTCAGCCACACACACAGCTGTTGCTATGCCTGTTCCACTAACCTCAAAGCAGTTTTCTCACTTCTACCTTTCCACTCCTCTTTGCAATCCCACCAGGGGGAATGAGAGAGTGGCTTTGTGAGGCTCAGCTGCCTACCAGGGCTAACCCACAACCCTTTTACCCCCCACGTTAGTTGGAGGGTTAGGTATTCATGTGGCTGGATGACAGCCACCTGACAAAACACACAGAACATCCCTATTTTATCTAAAATTTACCCTTAACTGCAGTTATTTCATTTTGCACTGAAACCACTCATTTGTTAAGCAGCAAGATATTTTGGTGTTGTTCTGTTTTGTTGTTTGTTTGTTTTTAATTCTAGGTATCAAGCATTCAAAACTCTAGGTTTTAATAGCACGTTCTCATCCCTGCAAAGTGATGACACAATCAAATATTGCAGCTCAACACTCTACTTTAAAGCTCGTGATTTAATTATTTTTCTGTACCCACTAAATTCCTAAGATCAAAAGGTAGAGAGAAAATGTATCTCTGTGCAATGAGCATGCATGTTAACTTAAATCCAACAATTTACTTCATGCTCAAACCTTGTGAGTGTCACTTGACCCTACCAATAAACCCACTATGCTAGAAGTTTCTCTCAAATTAGAATGTATACCAATAGCTGCAGACATTCCTCCTTTTAACTAATGCAGTCACAAAAGGTGTTCAGAGATATTAACACTGAACCAGCATACTTGTTAGCCACAGAAGTTTGTCTAAGAGGAGTGAGTTTTATTTTTGCCTCAAAATACACTACAACCTGTTGTAAGTATTATGCCATTCAAGAGTCCCATACACAGAATAGAGCTGATGTGAAAGAAAAAAAACAAAAACAAAAACAAAACAAAGAACTGATTGGAACGTTTCATTTTCAGTGTTTGCTTCTACTTGGGATTCTGTGGCTGTACCAACCCAGATGTGTCTTTGAAAGAGAAACAAAGGAAAAAAGAGAAGTGTAAAAGCTGCATTGTCCTAGTAGAATGCAGCAAGTTGGCAGGAAACAAGCTCAAGACAAAGGGCCACCCTAAATTCCATCGAGCTTAATGAAATCCCAATCTTCCTTTTACTGTGGGCCACAACAAATACAGCAATTTAGCGCTTTTGTTAAAGGCCACGTGAAGAGAAAGTGAAGTCTAGATTAGTCTGCGACAGAGGAGACGTCGCTCCTCACCAATGTTGGAGCAACTAGCAGCTTCAGGAACCACTTTAATGGAAAGGAACAACAAATCACACTAGATTGCGAGAACTAAAGCAGAACAAGATGCACGCGGTTCCTTTAGCAGAAGAGCACTTCCCAGCTAGGTGCTGTTCCCCCACACTCCGACCCGGACACCACACACAGCCACCTCAGCTCTGGGCTCAGGGTCTGCCAGAGACAGCAGCCACCAGAACGCAGCACTGCCCAGCCGCCCTTCACAACCCGGCTCCACATCAGTACTTCTTTAAGCTTAGCCAGCACTTCATCCCTGAAAGTGAGAAAACAGCTACTAGTGCAGGCAGAGAGAGCTTATCCTTATGGAGTTTGATGACGCAAATAGTAACTACTTGTAGATAGGCCCGATGGAGCAAGTTAGCACACAGCCTCTGTGCAGTTGCACATAATTCCTCTGAGCAGCACAACCCTCACCCAGTCCAAAGAGACTTGAAAGCCAGAGGACAGTGCACAGCCCCCCAGAACACTGTCCAGATTAATAAATCCAAATGAGGACTTAAGCTCCCGGTGCCAACAAAACCAGACCTTAAGCTCACCTCATTAACCAGCTTTGATCACAAACGTTCTGCACGCACAGAGGCCCTTTCTTCCACAGGAAAGGGCAATCCGTGCACAGTTTATTACACGCTGCCGGACATTTCTTCTGCAAATGCAGTTTTTTCGTATCTCATACCTGCTTTGCACTGCCTTCCATAACTGCAGTACTCAGTGTATGTACGCTCTGCATAAAGTAGGGAGAGCAAAGAAACCAGCTACTAAGAAGGCAGCTGGCTTCAAATCCACATATCTGCTGTATATCTACTCCTGCACACTCTCCACGATATGAATGGGAAGGAATGTTACTATGCTGCATGTATCCTCCATACAAAATGTTAATTAAGGTACACAACATAAACATCATCTAAATATTTAAAGGAAAAACATGAACGAGTCACTTGGTACAATGCACACCAGCACTTCCTACATGAATATTAGACAGTTACAGTAATGTGCATTTTACCTTAAGGCTGCAAGTCATGTCTGTGTTCAACATCAAGCCACTTAAAAGCTGTTCATCATCATTTCCTTTATATGTGGGAGAACACTTTAGAAATTACTATGCAAATATTTACCAAAAGATAAATTAAAGCCAGGTCACATGAATGCACATGTACAATGTAGGTAGAAGTGACAAATTTAAAAAGTGGATTTAATGTTTGTGTTGTCACAGAATCTGAACTGTTGTCACCATACACAGTGCCTTCAGTGCTCACATCTAAAATAAATTCAGTAATTCTTCTATGCATTTGTTTCAGTCAAGGGTAAACATTCAAGTGAAAGCTCAATTGCTCTAAGATACTCCCATTCGCTTTATTATTGAAATACACAGATAAAAACATAGTTAATGTATCAAAAACTCGGGAGGACCATCTTGATTCCTTCCCCACACCCTGGAATTTAGATAGTGAAGTGTCTACCTTCCTGAGAACTAAGCAACTTACTTTACAAATGTTGATGCTTATATAGCATATCTCAGTCTTAATGCGTGAAAGAATACTAACAAGTTTAAGCACGTTTGTGCTGGTCCGTCATAAAAGACCACCACCTACTGATCTCACAGTTCATCACTGTACAGCGCTGTTACCTGTCTTTAGCAGAACACGATCTCTAACCTGAAGTTTTTTTAATTCGAATATGAAAAAGATAGGACATACTGAAAAAATGCAGAAGTAAGGGAAAGAGTCAGAAAGTCTCCATTATCATTTCTCAGGTTATTTCTCAGGCTGGCATTTTAGAAGCACCTCTACGTTGATGTTTCACTAGGGCAATTTGATTCCAGCGAAACACAGCATGAAAAAGGAGGGATAAAAAAAAAAAAAAGGAAGTCACTTTAAAGCTGCTCCACAAGCACAGAGATAGAATGAGTACCAGGTCAAAGTCTGAAGGCAAACAATGGAGTGTGGCTATGGTGCTTTCTGCCATTGAGACAGCTTTAAAATAGAGATTAAGAACTTGCAATCACAATATACTTCCTCATGAAGGGGACAATTTTCAGTTAATGCCAATGAGAAAGAGAGAGAGACAATGTTCTACCATTTAATCATTTTATATTGTACATATATTGCCATGTGATCTATTACATCCCAGCACATAAGTAGCTGATGATTTCTATGAGCACAACAGGCTAGGTGATACAGCACCCAACACTCACAAATCACAGCAGGAAAGCTGACTACAAACGAGATAAGGAGGGTGGCAGCCTCAAACGTAGAGCAACCCAGCAGTTGCCTGTTTGCATCTCACAAGCACCCCCAACCAAGCCTGATGAGTCCCCTGCTCAGCATTTTGGCCAACCACCAGCAGCGGGGCCCCTTCACCACTCATACCAGAGGTGGGGTTTCTGTTTCATGGGAACATTACTACGGAGTTCCCAAAAATCAACAGATGATTGGTTAAATTCCAATTTAGAACCCTTCAACAGTAAGAGCATTCTGATTTGATACTGAATCTGAATAAGAACTAATCACTAAGAACGTCCCACTACCTGAACGTTACTGAATACAATACAACGTAAAGACAACGTTACAGGGCTGAGGGGTCACATAATTCACACCCTTCCACTGCACTCCAACATCGAACACTTAGGAAGTGTATTTCAGTGAGGAACAAGCATGCAGAACAAAAACAGACAAAGCTCTCTGGATATATACATTTAGAAAAAGAGGTCCACAAAGGCTGCAGCTGTAAGAACTATGGCAAAATAGCCCCAGCTGAAACTGAAGTGCTTGGTATGCCAGACTTTGAATTAAAGACAATCTGGGAGAATGTAATTAAGAAATGCAAACAGATTTTTCTTTATAAACTAATGTCAAGTTAGTTGAGAATTTTAGTTCAAAGCATTCAATACACCTATAGACAGCAAAACCTCAGGGCTGGCTGTAAATTCATACAGCTCAGCTTGTTGCTAACTCTACACTGAAACATGCCAGATCCTGAACAAAAAGTGATGAAGCGCTCAGCAGCTACAAAGAGAGCAGACACCACTTCAGTCCTGCATCTAGATACTATCTGAGATTATTTTATTTACAACTGTTTGGCTTTCCTTTGTTGAAGTGATTAATGCATTCGCAGCTGTCCCAGGACCGCTTATCAGGAGCCCTCAGAGTTCCAAATGTGTGACTGAGCAACAGCAGACTCCAATCCCCACAGCACAGAATACAAATGCCAGTGAGACAATACAGATCAGGTATGATTACATCCTCTAACACTGTATCATATACACTGAGCTTTAGACAAAGCTCAAGTAAGGGAAAAAGCCAGCAGTAAATTACAGAAGTGTATCCTTAATTCCACATGGAGAGCGATAACAGATTCTTCTTTGAGAGAGAGGGTATATTTTTTTTTTTTCCTTCCAAACTTACGCAAGGATTTCACAAAAAGCAGCAGTGCAGCACCACAACCCTAACCTCTGCACAAAACAGGCACTGGGGAGCGTGATCTAGGGCCTGACTCACCTTCATGCCCCAAAAACACAACCTTTAGGGCCAAATTTAGGTCCTGTGCTGGAAATGTGCTAAGACACACAGGGTAGGTTTCAAAACCAAAAGCACTGTAAGTATTTGGAGATGCAAGCTGAGTGCCTTTGAGGCAGAAGTTCATCGCTGCATTACCATGGAAAGAAAAAAGAAAGGAATGGGAAAAATAGATGAATTTAGAACAAG